ACATATATTTATTTATTGAAAACGCTCTAAAAAATCAATGACGACCACTTGGGGTTAAAAAGAATAAAAACAGCACGCTAAATAGCATAGCGATATCAAAGCAAAGCAAGCAAACACGTACTAGTGTAAACACGGCTGAACCCAGTGGGTTACAGCGGTTGATGTAATACGAAATCAATAAAATGCTTAATCACGTCTTATTAACGAGAACTCTTCAACATATGTAAGCCTTACCGATTTGGCAACAAATGATGGAAGAAGATAAAAAAAAATGTGAAAAAAGTTAAACCTATTATATATACATACATATGTATATAAACTACTATAATTCCTTATATATATACTCAACATATAAATATTTAAAATACTTTCTCATATATATAAACGTGTGACACACTATTTTCATATAGTGTACAAAATGTGGTTTATTGATACTAATGTGACTTGCCAAAAGTCAGAAGTAACTAAAACTAAATAACACAATGTCAATGACCAATTTATGTACATTGACACGTTACAAATGCACACATGCCTACAAAAGTAGGTATATACAAATGTGGATGTGCATGGTATAGGGCTCATAACTTGAGTTAACGTTCGGAAAAATTGAGTTAATGGATGTTTTATTTTGATAATACTTTTGGATAGTATAGTAGAACCAAGGTCTTTTGAATGAAATCATCATTAAGACACTTTTAAACAGACACTATTCATTTAAAAGTTATACGTAATAGCATTTAAAACTAGATCGAAATAACGTTGTATAAATAAATGTGTGTACTATATCTAGTTGTATGTACGTATATTCATTGAAAAAGTTTTCATAATAATTTGCAACGTGGCATTTATGAAATAAATGAAATTTTCTATTTCTATCTTTTCACAATTTAACATTATGTACATATATAATATAATAATAGCCACATACATCATATATAACATACAGCCTTTTTGGTAGAAATACTGATCCGTGTATAAATTTAATTTTAAATTGTTTACACACCTTTTCTGACATGACCATATTATTATCCTCGGTGCCATAAACTGTCTCAGCACCAGGCTGAGGACCGTGATTGTTGAGCATTGTGTCGTCGTCCATTGTGACTTCTAATTTAATATTTATGTTAAGGAAAATTTACGCGGCACAGTTTAATTGTGATTTCTTAATCCAACTTTTTCTTTCTGCATACTTTTTTTTTCAAGGGATTTACACTATTGAGACACAATACGACGTGCCACTGACGTATTGTAAGGCGGAAATGAAAGAATGTGTGGGAGTGGGAAAGTGGTGTCTGACTTGTCCACAATGTAATCTCTAACCACTACGACGACGCCCTTTCCAACAGCTCGCCTTGGACCCACCACCCACAACGTCGATTTTCCACACTTCACAACTACTCACAATTACTTTATTACCAATCACATATATATATTTATTTGTATGGAGGAAAGTATTTTTATTTTAGTTATCACTTTCTACTTTTCATTTTTTGCTTAACATGTATTGTTAATTGTTTGAAGTTTGCAAATTTTATTTTTCCAATTATGAATGAAAATAGACAGCGCAATATTACGCCTTCTCTTCTTTTTTCCTGATTGTCATTTCATTATTTGACTAGATTTTTTTCTCTTTTACCTATTATGATGAGCCTCACTTATCACATTTTTATGCTTTCATTAATATTCTTTAAAAATGTGTATGATTTATTTCGTTTGACTGCGTTTTTATAAAACTAATTGGATTTTTATGATGCAAAAATTTTTGTCTGATACAAATAGCTAGCGTGAAAATTTTTCTAATTGTCTTATGTGTCTGACATTCTTGCATTCTTCTTTTTATTTGACAGCGGCAACCAGTGATGCATAGTTAATGTAAAGAATATAGGGTAAATTATGTAAAGTATGGTATACAAATATATTATTGACATAATTTTTAAATAATTACTAAAATTATAAAAGAATTAGTAGACGTCAGTTATCCTCATTTAAAGTAAACATATGTTTTCTTTAAAATTTCCTCTCACAGTTTTTCTCATTTCTTCTTGCAATTTTCGTTATACGATAGATATTCACTTTAGGCTTACAAAACAATTAGAATCATTTTTATTGTTCATCTTTAATTCCACAGGTTTACAATAACTTAAAAGCATTTCATGGAAATGTTTTCGAAAGCGACGTTTCGATTATGACGTTATTATACGTATACAACTCCACTCTTTAAGTGGTTACAAAGCTAACATTAATACAATGTTATTTAAACTTAATCTACTCTGTGCCCACTTTTTCCCCAAAAAAAAAAATTGTTTACTTGGCTATTAACTATGTTACTCCTTAGATGCCATGTGTCCCATTAAATTCGCAGACAGCTTCTCAATTTTCTTCAAATCCGGCATATTTTCTGCTTTATATTGAATACACTGCAAATAAAGTGTAAAGTTAATAACAACAATAATTTTAATAGTAATAGACATGGGAGTACCTTTACGTTGTCAGTCATTTTCAGGAGTATATGGCCTTTCGAGTGGACGTATTTCATTGTGTATCGACAGTTCTTTGGATTCGCCATATACATGGACTCGGCAGCGATTTCAAAATCTTCCCAATTTTTTACGAAAACCATTTTTACACGATTTTATTAACACTCGCATAAATAACTAAATTTCACAAATATTAAATGTGGATGTAGGTGGAAGTCGAAATGTCAATTTTTGCTAATGTGTCACTTTTTTGATATGGAATACTGCCAGAGTTGAATACGGAAAAGAGGGATGCCAATAATCAAGCTCACAAAACAAAAATTGAATGATTAAAAGGAAATCACTACTTGTAAAATACGCTCATATAAGTTAAACATGTATTTAAAAACCTTTAAAGTTATTACTTTTTTTTTCAAAATGAAACACGTTTATAGAAATAGAAAAACATATTTTGAAAGGGCTATGCGCCCTCTAGTGTTTAATTTAATTTTACTGATTATTTTCTCCGTTTGTTTTTATTTCAACTTTATTCTCTACCTCATCTTGTAATTCCGCTTCTTTGGCTTTTTTCGCACACAACATTCTAGACCTGCAGAACAAAGTGGCATTAAACCAATTTTAATTGTGTGAAAATATATTTTTAACAATAATAAAACGAACAAATAGCACAATAAATCACAATGAATTTTTTGGAACTGCCGGATTGCATGTTAATGGAAATATTTGAATTTCTTACCTATGAAGAGGTATCCAAAAACCGATTAGTAAGTTTTCCGTTTTGTTGTAGAAACAATTACATAGTGTAAGTCTTTAACGTGTTACTAACGGCATAATATTTTTCTTATGGGATACCAGGTTTGCAGAAGAGTAAATCAAATTTGTCAACAAGTTTTGAATGGTGGTTTTAGTCGTGCTGTGCGACAACACTCCACCATTTTCAAGCGTATCAAATCAATGCTGCCGCGTAGAGAATCAGAGAGACGGTAGGTTCATCTGGCATAAAAAAGGAAAAAATAACATTTTCATACTTATTCTATGTAGCAATCACAGCTTAGCTAGACATGCGGATATTCTTACATCGATAGAGACCCGTATTTCGATGCTCTCAATGACTTATAGCAAGTACATAGATCTAAATCTGTGTTGCTTTATACCCGGTCGGGTGCTTGATGAAATCTTCCGAATCCTTATATTGGTATCAAAAACTCGCAAAACACTTAGGCCACATGAAGTGCTCCAAGAGTTACGCGACATATCTTCTATGGCTATAGAGCACTTCGATGAAAAAATAGCAAATATTCTAAAGCCCTATGTTGACGCCAGCAGCAACAGATCAAGAGCCATTGACCATAAACGTATAACAGCTGCAAGTTCCGAATTGGGTAGTATAAGCTTTAGCGTCGCACAAAGTAATTCCAATATGTGGACCCAGGCGAGTAGTACTTCAAAACTGTTGACAGCTTCTCATCGAACATCACCTTTAAAAATGCCCTGCAATAACTGCAATGAGGCTATACTGAATAGAATGGCTGCGTTTATAAATGTGAAATCACCGAATTCAGATAGTTCGGATTCAACGGATTGGGATTCCATTTACACTACAGTGGGTGGGTGTTGTTGCTGTAAAACATCAAATGCAAATTCAGGCGATAACGTTAAACAAAAACGCAGTGGATGTCCAGAGGCAAAAGCAACAATGGCCAAATACAAAAAACTTGAATTGGAATACAAAAATGGTGTTCAAAGAGTAAGTAAACGTTTTTAAATATAGACATCGTTTAGTCACAAAGTTAGTAAATTTTCAGATGAATCGGATGCAACAAATACAGGTACAGCAATCACGTCGTTTACAACAGACCATGAATACAATTTCTACAATGAGTACGCAAATAACGGAATTAAAAAAACGCTTGGAGGATTTGGATGCAAAAAATCGCGAAATATCAGCCAATATTAATAAGATTAACCCGGGTGCTGGAGACTCGACAACTTCGGCTACAGGCACTACCGGTGCTATACTAAATCAAAATGAAGAGGATATTGAACTTGATGAGGAGGACGATACTCTAGCGGGACCCTCGGCTGCTAAAAAACGCCGTTGCGATGGCACTACAACGACGCGGATGAAAATTTCAGAATCAAATGCAGTTTTGGAATAGGTCCCTTTCGAAATAATAAATTACATACACGAATCAAAGATATAAATTCACATCAAGCTATGTTTTGTGGCCGTATGTCGTGTGGAATATATGTGTATTGAAATTCATCTGAACCCTTTAAACCACAAATACTGCTACAAATTGCTTAATAAGGTCCTAATTAAGCCATTGTAAATAGGAATCTTACACTTATTTTTTGTTGTAGATATCTAAAATATTTATTTTGCTAGAAATATTTATACAGAGTGGCTGAAAAGAACGCGTCTGGAGCAAAGATCTAATATATAAAAACCTTTAGAAAGTATTTGTGAACACCTAGCAGCTATCTATTTCTATCTTGTTTAAATAAATCGACTTATGTCTATACAGTTTTATATTTTTTTTTTTATTAGAAAACGTGTTTGGACATTCGACGTATTAAGTTTTTTCGTCCAGAACTCTTCGACTTTTATGGTTTTCACATAAATCTAAAACGATTTTAACATTGAGTTTTTGTTTGAACTTGGCGTCAGTAAGCGTCAAGGAAAATCCTTTCGCACAAGACAAAAGAATAAAACTTGCAACGCTCACATTACGCACTTTCGTTAATATGTATATTGGGCGATATTAATTATTGAATCGTTTGAATGATCATTTTGATGTTTTAGCGATATTGCTTAAAAGGCTATTATAATTTACATTTAGTGTTTTTTGTTTTTGCCGTAGCGTTCATACTTGCTCTTAGACGAGTGCCACAGTGCCAATGGAATTGCTAACGAAGGCAAAGTCATTATAGCGAATGCAACCCAATCAAAGAAGTGTGATGAGAAGCGTTTGTTGAATTCAGCCAGATTTATAATTCCACCTTGACCAGGCTCGGAGCTTACAGCCAATTGCAACTAAGAAATATAATAGAAATATTAGTATCTAATTAGAAAGCGTATTAGCGTTTGTTACCTCTTCGGCTTCCTCGACAGGTTTGTACGAAATTTCAGCGGCTGTGAAATTGAAATATCCATATGCTTTAGGACGCACCACTAATACATGGGTATAGTTGGCTTGTGGAGCGATACGTTCAATGGTTGCAGTTGGTTGACCTCCAACTACATCGAAGGCTTCTGAGGGGAAACCATTGTCGACCAATTTCACATTGGTAGCGGCACCATTTCCAACGTTATAAATTGTGTATCGCACAAGCAGATCACTCTTCTCCACTAAATACTTGTTAAGAATTTGTTTGGAAATTAGTAAACGAGCGCTGGTCTCATCATCAGAAAGGCAGATATTTGACAATGCCAGTAAGATTACAACAGAAAACAATGATTTGAACATTCTGAAATAGATCAATAAATACAAATTATATTTCATGCTACAAGCATATGAGCTGATTTCACTTCTTGTGGACGTGGAAGCTTTGCGGCTGATTACAAGTTATACCGCTATTAATATACATTATTTGTTTATTTTATTAAATTCTGACGGTGATCATATTGTTTTAACTTACTTGTGTTATTAAATATAAAATCTCAGCTAAAATCTCTTAAAAACCGATTTATTCTACACCGCAATCAAAATGAAAACCAACTTTCCAAAATTGCGATGAAAATGCAGCGAAGACTTTACGGAACTATGTGACGTGTATACTTCGTATTGAGCTGTCATACTTCGTAAAAGTCATTTTGAGCGCCATCTAAATTTTGCACCAATGATTGCTAATTAAAATGTTGTCGCTAAATTGTTGTTTCGTAAGTTAATAGGGGTATTCTCTTGCTCTTGCATTCGGTGCACGAATTGCAGAATTTACCACTTGGTTTAACCGCACAACAACAAACACATGCAGAAAATTATTTGCAATGGCTCTAAATATGTAATTTATGCCTTTATTTTCGTACAATCACACATAAAAATATAATTGCAACCCTGCTTTAGCTGTCATTTAACATAAAGGCATATTACGCCGTTAAAATGTTGATTTTATAATTTTTGCTTAAATTATAAAGATTTGTTACAGTTTTTTGTTAAGAATGAATACAGAATCTGCGCCAATTTACAATAGTCATTCTCAATAAATTGACCGAATCAGACGTTCATACTACACACTAGATTCTGCGATGGATGCTCTCTTGGCCTTGCATATTTCGATAAAGGATTTTTGCATTTTTTAACATCATGCAATTTTGCAAGGTCAAGTGAATCCCTCTAATGATTAAAAAATTGTTTAAATTTAACATGTTTGTGATTTGAGGGCAGGTTAGGGATTTATATATTTGATGACATCATCTTTCCTACACTAAAGTGAAATCGTTACCACGACTTATTAGCATTCTTACTGTTGTCCCCAATCCTCGCATATAAAATATTAAGGAATAATTAATAAAGCTGCAGAGCTTACAACCTAATTGATTCCATTTTATATAATCGTCAAAAATTTTAATCAGGTGGATGGACACGGATGAGCTTTCTTGAATTAAAATTTTTTTTCTTAATTGTATTCAATCATTTAACATTACATTTTAATCATACTTTTTTTTAATTATCACAAGAATTTTTTAAATATATCGATAAGTTTACAATTAACGTAAGTTCACAATGGTTTGTTTACAAAAAATGCCACCACCAATGATTGTTTTGTTATGCTGCTGATATGAATTTGTGTATTTAAAACCGGCAAATAAATAAAATATTTATATTAAGAACGCTAAGCTTAAAATAGATTGTCACTGAATATTTTATATAGCTTCAATTCACAACAAAAATTTGTGAAGCAAATCAAGCTTATCCTATTTGCGCTAGCGCAAGTTGCTTTCAGTGAGCTTCTGACATTGAATGACCTTGTATCTGTATATTATCAGTAAATTGCCTAGTATGGGGTAGTCAGTTTTCGGAAATCAAGTGTTACGGACGTTGCAAAATATTCGGAGAGCTTATTATAAATTTGATTTCTTGTTGGATTGTCGTTTATTAATATTGATAAGTTAAATATGTCGACTGTCTCTGTAGTTGCTACAAAACCATACGAAGGCCAAAAACCAGGCACTAGCGGATTACGCAAAAAGGTTAACTTTTTTGAATTACATATATTCTTAGTCGGCTTGGTTGATTTTTTTTCAAGTGAATATTAGACAACTAAACTCATACTTTTATTTACCAAATTAAAGGTAAAAGTTTTCACACAACAAAATTATACTGAGAACTTCGTGCAGTGTATTTTGGATGCCAATGGTGCAGCTTTAGAAGGATCCCTGCTTGTAGTGGGTGGTGATGGCCGCTACTATTGCAAGGAGGCTGCAGAACTCATTATTCGAATGTCTGCTGCTAATGGGGTGAGTTTATAGAGTTCATGTGTATGTATATATTTCGTAGATGTATGTATGTATGTTTGTAGTAAGATATTTACTTAAGATGCTAGTGTTTCAAAATTAATTATCTATTAAAATACAATTAGGTTGCAAAATTGTTGGTTGGACAAAATGGTATACTCTCAACTCCAGCTGTTTCAAGTTTAATTCGTAAGCATAAAGCTTTAGGTAAGTAATCATACGGCTAGTTAAAATAAGTTGTCTTCTGAAAACACATTCCTATGTGAGCACAATTTTAAAAAACTAACGTCATGCGTTTGTGTGTATATATATTTATTCAAGTTGGCCAAAGGACGTTAACCTCGTTTGCTTCGAAGCTATATAATCCTTCACAAATTAACAAATAAAGTTGACAATAATTCATACTAAATTTAGCCAAATAAAAAAAAAATCAATACAAGGACTTGGATCTGTTTGAATTATAGCTAGAGGCCCGATGTACTCTGTTCATGGTTTAAAAGCGGTTAAAATCGTTAATATGAAGAAATTATAAAAAATCAAAGAAATAAATAAATATACATATATATCTGTATGTATGTATAGTATATATTTCGCACRTATACAAATGTTTACAAATATTTCATAACTAAAGTGCATTTAATTCTTTTGTGTAATTTGCTACATTTGTTTACATACAAACGCTAAAAAAGTAGCTTGTTGAAGTTTAATATTATACATATATTACTTCTTATCAACAATGCTGACGAACGAAGGCGGGCATTTTTGAATGTCATCGTGATAATTTTTAATGTTATCATCATAATTTCTAATTTAATAGTTGTAATTCCTAAAAAAGTAAACAAATATATAGTTAAGCTAAAAATACAACTTATTTTTCCAATTTTGCACTTACTTACAATTATGTAATCATTACATATTTATTTTAGGTGGCATAGTTTTGACAGCTTCCCACAATCCCGGCGGTCCCGAAAACGATTTTGGTATTAAATTCAATTGTGAAAATGGTGGACCCGCACCAGATGCTGTAACTAATAACATTTATCAACTCTCCACTGCCATCAAGGAGTACAAAATAGTCAATGGCTTGGAAATTGACATAAGTAAAATAGGCACTAACAAATATGAAATTAATGGCAAACCATATGTTGTTGAGGTCATCGATTCGGTGGCCAATTATGTTGCGCATATGAAAGAGATTTTCGATTTTGAGAAATTGCGTGACTTTGTTAGCGGAAAGACAACAGGCAAGCCGCTTAAAATGCGCATAGATTCGTTGAACGGCGTTACTGGCTCATATGTGCGTGAGATCTTTCTGAACGCTTTGGGTGCACCCGAAAATGGTGTAGTTCACACAATACCGTTACCCGATTTTGGCGGTTTGCATCCCGATCCCAATTTAACCTACGCCAAGGATTTGGTGGAAACCGTGGCTCAAGGTGATTACGATATCGGCGCCGCATTCGATGGTGATGGTGTAAGTAAATTAACCACAAGTAAATTCTATACCAAATGTAATAAAATCGGAAAATTTCACTTATAGGATCGTAACATGATCATTGGCCATCGCGCTTTCTTTGTGACGCCCAGCGATTCGTTGGCAGTTATCGCGAATAACTTGGAATGTATACCATACTTCAAGAAAAATGGTGTACAAGGCTTTGCAAGAAGTATGCCAACAGCTTCGGCAGTGGATTTGGTGGGCAAGAAGTTGGGTAAAGAGGTATTTGAAGTACCCACTGGCTGGAAGTATTTCGGTAATCTTATGGACGCCGGTCGTCTGTGCTTATGTGGCGAAGAGAGCTTCGGCACTGGCTCCAATCATATCAGAGAAAAGGATGGCATTTGGGCGGTTTTAGCTTGGCTCTCCGTTATGCAACATACCGGCAAAGGAATTGAAGATATACTCAAGGCTCATTGGGCCACCTATGGGCGTAATTACTTTACACGTTATGATTATGAGGAATGTGAATTGGACCCTTGCAACGAAATGATTGCAACTATGGAGAAAAATATTACCGATCCTTCATTTGTTGGAAAGATTTTTACCAGTGGTGATAAAACATACAAAGTCAAGGTAGCCGATAACTTCAGCTATACTGACCCCGTAGACAAGTCTCTGGCCACAAAGCAAGGTTTACGTATTGTCTTCGAAGATGGCAGTCGCATTGTGTTCCGTTTAAGTGGTACAGGCAGTTCGGGCGCTACCGTGCGGTAGGTTATTCAAGAGTTTTACCTGCTATTAACTCACGTCTACATATAATGTTTTTTTTGTTTTTATTTACAGTTTGTATATTGATTCCTACGAGAAGGATAATGTGCTGGGTCAAGCTAGTGTAATGCTGAAACCATTAATAGATATCGCTTTGGAGATTTCACAACTGCCAAAATTCACCGGTCGCAATGCACCCACTGTCATTACATAAGAAATTTTAGCAAGGAATTAGCAAAGCCAGTTTTGGAGGCTACCTCGTTTTGAAAAGTCTTTGCCGAAAGCGCGTTTCACTTGTTGATCGTTCTTATTTTATTTAGAAAACGATATTAATAAGGATATAGTTACCACAATTGGCACCATTTGTTGGGGTGAATTATATTAAATAATACAATTTGTACGTTTGTGTTTTATATAAGCAATAATACGTATTTTTTTTTTTTTATAAAATGTATAAATAACAGTTAAACTTTGTTGCTTATAGCTAAATACTCAAATTGATTTAATATAATTGTGGGACAGCGCTCGGTTAAAACAGTACGCGGTAGCTTGGCTAACCTAACAAACATCTGCAGAAAGTGCAATGCTGTTGTGGCTTCAGCGCTTAATTCACTTTTTGCACTGAAAATGATAAATTATATTTTTTCGATTGCCCATAAGCAAAATGTATCATGCATACTGACCTTATATTTGCCTCCACTATCACAGTTGCGTATTGACATAGATAAGTCAAGTACAATAGCTTGACGTCTTTATGAAACTGTTGGAAAACAGTTAGTAACCCCACTAGAAGTGGTGTACCATCTAATGTATCCTTCACATTTTTTGCCAGTAAGCTGTTTGTGTTCACCGCAAATTGCAGGCGTGGCAAATGTGCTATGGTAAATAAGAAGATAAAAAGCGCAATGTGATGTGAGCTTTTGGTTGTAAAGAAAACTTGCTCAAGTGGTTCATAAGAGCCCGTAAAGGCAAGATACTCGTTAAATTCCATAAGCAATTGATTGCCACTATTCGAACAGATAAATTTCGCGTAAGTTTCTGGTTGTTCCAATTCGTTCAACAGTGCCCTAGAAGATACAATAATTTAAAAAAGAAAGTAAAAAACATAC